GGGGAGGAAGGGGAGGGAAGGGGCATTGCGGTAAGCAATCGTGCCTAAGGACTGGATTTACTGTTTCAGTGAGATCTTGAAATGTAAGGACAGATTTATGAGTTGTCACTCAGCATCTAGTTTCTTGCTTAGCATCACAAACCCATATGATCCATAATCCCAAGTCCTGTTTCCAAATCCTACCTCCAAGTAAGGTTACAGCTCTTTATGAGTTTTGTGCTGTGTAACAGCATTACAAAACGTATACTGTCACGGGGTTGTCTGTGTATGCGTTTGTGTGTGCGTCCCACATTTTGTCCCGCACTTTCAACTCGGGAACCACGAGAGCTAGGCGGCTGAAATTTTGGTGTAGTGTTTCCCGCCAGCGGGTGGCTCGGCAAACTTAAATTCAGCCTTCCCGTACCCGCGGGTGACACGTACGACCCCGTGAAAGTTTTTCATGGGTAAATTGGTATCTCAGGAACCATGGAGTCTAGGGGGCTGAAATTTTAGGGGTTGACCCCCTGCCCACGGTCAACCTTGCCTATTCAAATTCAGCGTTCCTGCGCTCTTGAGCAATCGTGAAAATTTTGGCGGGTAAACTATTAACGCGGGAATCACGGAAAGATATTCACCCTTCAAAGTTTCGAATTCAGCTTTCATGCGCATGTGCGTGAAATTTCCAAATATTTTTCAATGTTTCAACTGTTTTTACATGGACTGAAGTACAACATAGTGAAAATCATTAGTAGGCAATCGTTCGAGAGGCTGGATTGCACAAAATGCATGATCGTACCGGCTAGTTTAGTGCGCGTTGCTATTTAGGTAATATTCAGGTTCCTTGTCGCTGTTAGGATCTTTTATGATTTAAGCCAGCATCCTCTGTCCTGCCGTTCCGCTCGCTCCCTCTCCGGATAAAATTATTCTGCTCGCTCCCTCTGCGGGACAAAATTAGAAGGGCCTGAGAAAGGTTGTAGGATCTGAGGATTTGTGGGCGCATAACCGCAGTTTACGGAACCACTTCGCAAGATAGTAATCATTTTGATGAATGTAACTGGCAGTGTATTACTGGTGGGCTTGAATTACTGGACCAGTGGCATTTCTCGTAGGTTGAAAAATGGCAGGAAAACCAGCTCTTTTCGCGATTCTTGCGAAGGAAGTGGTACTGGCATATGTCGGCCAGAACTGTCAGGAAACACCCCCTTAAAATTTCAGCTTTCTAGCTTTTCTGGCTCCTGAGCAGCTTACTGGGAAAAAAATTTCACGGGCTGTACGTCGGTACTACGCGGGTAGGACCGCCTATTTTTGGGATGGGGGCCCGCACATGCATGTAGATTAAGTTCCCAAAGTTTTAGCCCTGTAGCTTTTGTAGGTCTCGAGATGAATAAAGTCGGTACAGAAACACAGTGCACACACAGACAACCTCTCGTCAGTATACGTTTTCCGCATTGCATAGCTGCAAAAAATGCACAAAAAGGGAACGACTGACAGAACAGCTAAACAGGTTTTGCGATTGTCCACTCTTTAGAAAATGAGAGATTAGATTGGTTTGTTTCTGAAGTGACATTTTTTTTTATTTTTTTCAGGATTTAAATTGCAATGGCACCGAAAGCAGTAAAAAAGGTTACCAACGCAAAGCAAAAAGGTACTTTTGTTTGTTCATTAAATAGAAGAATAGAAGGATTTCACTTGAATGTCATGTGTATGAAGATATTTTATGACACAGTCTGTGTGTTTCATCCCTTAGCTGTATACACAGACCGAACAAAGCCGCCTGTTAAATGATTTGGCTAGGAGATTTTTAATGATTAACTTGTTTTCAATTGAGCTTTCATTTTCGGTACTTCTTCTCTTGATAAGATGCACCGGCGAATCCAGAGGGGAAGCAGTGGGTGTTTCGCCACCCTTCCCTCTTCCCTCTCCTTCCCATCCTCCTCTCCCAACGGCACAATTAGCAGTTGTTTTACTATAGAAAACTCTCTTCGATACCGCCTGTCGCTTCCCCTCCCTTCCTCCGGTCGTCACCACAGTTTAGAGTCGGGGGGAGGGGG